ATGGAGGGATGGAGGGATGGAGGCGGGCTGGGAGCGCGGGGCGGCGGCAGCGCGGCCCCGACCACCCCGCTCCGCCTCCGCCCATCCTCGCCGAGCCGGGCAGGTGGGGCGACAGCGTCTCCCCATCAGCGCCAGCCTCATTCCGAGCTTCCCGGAGGGAGGGTTTGCATGAGGCTTAGCGACGTCTGGGGAAAGGGTGGGTTTCCTTATGAACACCGCGCCCCCCTCCGCCCCCCTTTTGGGTGTGCTCTGCACCGTTTCTTGTGGTTTCGAGTTCAAGTACTGGATGGGGAGCTGTAAATTATCATCCTGGGGAAGTACGGTTTAGCAGGGCGCGAACTTCAGTGCAAGGGTAAAGTGCCTTCCAGAGTAGGGGTGGGCGCTGTGCTGCTGCACTAGTGGATGCCCTAGAGCAGCTCAAGCACACGACTAGGAGCGAGCATCCAGCTCTACCGAGGCTGTGCTGGCCCCTAAGGCTCGGCAGCCCGGCTAGCTTTGGGTGCTTGCAGCGCAGAACAGTCCTTTAGGCTTGAGGTGGATGCGGTGGCTGGGACCCTGGATGTTTTTGCCCGTGTGACAGAGCAAACTTTGTTCCAAGAAGCTGCTCACAGCGTTTGCTGTATCAGTCCCGAGGCAAAGGCTCGGGGGTTATTGTTCGCAGGCGCAGGCTGCTTTGGGTGTTTCTCCACCACCCCCTAGCAAGAAAGGAGGCAGAATAGAAGAGAGACGGATTCAAGTGCAGTTTTACCTTGCACACATAGTATGCTCTGCAGTTTAATCTTAGGTTTGGTCAGTCGATAAGAAAATTTTTACCTAATATATGTACATGCTCAACTAAACATAAGAAGTTTAACAGTAAAAGGATTTAATAGAACATTTATGTCTATCAGTGTAATCATAGTTTTGAAGGGATTTTGTTTTATGTTTTGCTCTATTTTTCTTGCTGTAACAAAAGATCCTTAACTTTAAGACCACTGATATTGGAGGCATCTTTGTATACAAACTGCAAACATCAGGCTATAGATATGTAATTATTAGTAAGTGTTTAAAATTGTATGTAGCTAGAAGGAATACAATTAAAGTGCTCAGTGGAAGTGACAGAGTGAATCAGAGGAGCTTGGTGTTACAGAATGTAATTAAAATACCAGTCTGTTTGGAGATATATGAAACAAATGCAATTAACCAGCTTGCTGGAACGACAGGATCAGGACATAATTTATTCGAGTTTTGTCATGGGGAACACATGTAGAACGTTTATTCTGCTTTAGCCTTATGAGGGTGGGGCGGTGCAGGTGAAGCACACAGCTAATTTAGAGCCGGACCATTAGAAAAAATGTCCAAGAGTCTCCCGGAATATATGTGATGCTCCCCTTTTGTGGGAAGATATTGCAGAGACTGTCAAGTTTGCCTGCATTAACAACTCTCTGAAATAAATAAATAAAGAGCTTTGTGGATAGCACATCATGACCAAGTAGATATAAGCTGTTATTGTCGAAATGACTAACAAGTAGCTTTGAAGAAATACTGGCAGGCAAGCTTGGCACACACTGCTTTTGTCTCTTTAGAAGCATAGTAATTACGATCACATTTTAGGCTGACATATACCACTAGTTGCTTTGAAAAGATCTCCATCAACATCAGCACCATTTGTGATGCTTTAGTTTAAGAATAAAAGGCAAAATCCAACAGACCTCTTGTTTAATACATCCTTGGTTTGTTTCCTATGTTTGAAAGTTACCTCTTAGTGTGTTTCTGGGTTTGAGGGGGTTTTGTTGTTAGGCTTGGCTGGGTGTTTTTTTTTCTCTTGGCAAGACGTCCAGACATAGACACTGTAGCATTTGAAGTATGTTAATCATCCTTTTCCCTCTAAGTTTGGTTTTATTTAGTGACTGAGAAGCAGAATAGATCAAAATAATAATCTTTTTCTTCTAAAGTTATTTTTGCTATCCGTGGTTTTGCAACACCTGAAAATTACACAGCTCAATAAAAGTGGCAGAAAACATACGCTACACATACATATGTAGATTTTAGGGGTTTTATTATTGTGCTTTTGATTTTCCTGTAAAACTGCCCATGTTCTTACACTCTGGGGAGAGAATAACTTCAATTCTCTTTTTCTTTAGCTATCAGTCTTGGTTATTGCTCCTGACACAAAGCAAACAAAGAAAAAATCAAACACAAAAAATCCCAAATACTAAAACACACACAGAACTCCCCTAAACAAACAACTAAACACCCCACTGGACACAGTCTGCACAATAAAGTAAGACACTAGTTATTGGAGTTGAAAGAGCTGATTACATGTGGATTTTTAATAGTGTTCATCTGATTGTTCTTTCATTGTTCTGTGTTTTGTTATCCTTCTTCCAATAATTAATAAAGTTTAAAAGAACAAATATTAACAGAAGAGGTAACAACTGATGCAAACACCAGTATTGGTGGGCCAGACCCTGGCCTGGTAGGACTCATAAGTACTTTGAATGAAAATGACAATCTTTTATGGCAGAGCTGGTTTTCAGTCCCTTGAAAACTGCAAGTATGATATTCTTGAATGGGAGAAGGTGTTAAAGATACATGAGAGTAATTCTGTAAACTCAGCAATTTATCACCATATTAATATATTTCAAAAGCACTCATTTTCTTAATGAAAATTATGCATCTGAAATGGTGTGGCTGAAACATTCTGTATTTCTTTTCATTTTATTTTTTTTAATTTATTTTATTTCTTCATGCCAATAAGCTACACATCTGTGGCCTTGTGTAGGTCCCTGTCGCCTGTTGGAGAACATGGCTTACATATAAAGCTGGAGTATATTCTTCCAGTGAATATTTGAGCTGACACGTCTTGATCTGTCATCTGAGTTTTGCTGTTGATGGATAACCTTTGCTTCTGTGGAATGTGTGCATTTTAATGCCTTAAGAGTAAAATTCTGGAGAGTTTGCAATTTTGTTTCTTTTACCTTGTTCTTCCATAGGACCCAATTCTGCAGAGCATTTAAGTGCTTCCATCTCTTTGCCAGTCTTGCTGAAGTTGATAAGAATTTAAACACATGTTCCAAGTTAATCATAGGCTTTAAAACTTAGCTGAGTAAGGATGAATTTATGCCTATGATAACAGATTGTGTTGAATTAGTCTTAAGATCTTGCTTTCTTTACTTCCTGTCTTGTAAGTCACCATTGCAAAAAAATGTTTTTATGTGCAGAAGATAAGCAGTGAGGTAACCCTACCACTGTACTTCCAGAGATGGATTTGCTTGAAAAGTTATATGATAATACAGGTTTGTGTCTTTACTAATTTGGAGCTCTGCAAAAGGTCTGATACTCTGCAAATCTTTCTGAAAAGTTGAAATTAGGGGGTTTTAAGCCTCTATGTGAGTTGCACTGACTACGATAATCCTTCCATCAGGAACTGTCTGGAATGAGGAGATTGATGGTGCTCAGGGAAATTGAGTTTTAGCAATGCAGGCTAAAGATATGCAACCTCAAAAGTAGACAAAAGAATTAAAATACATTTTAAAGGATGCATAAAATGTATCAAGGAGATGTGCCAAAAAGTGTGATGAGAGGAAAAGCAGGCTTTGGCTGATCTGTCCAGTCAACTCCATTTGCAGGGGTCACTTTTCCATAGCAATGCTACATGGGCTCATAGCCCTGAATTGGAGACATGCTCTGTCCGCTGCTGAACCATTTAGTGGAAATTACTGAAGAGTATGCAATGGCTTTTTAGCCATTTGTTACCCTTGAATTGCTATTCAGATATTGATCTGGGCTAAATAGATTGCTAACAGGTTCTGTGCATTCTGCTTCAGCCACCTAAGAGGACGCTGCTGTCAGGTTTTATCTGTTATCTCAGCTGGCATGGCAGAGCTTGCTCTTCCTGTGGCTGCCATCTGGCTCACACCTCTCACACCAACCTTGGAGGGGATACTTAGTGATCATATTGATGCTGTTTCTTGCCAAGAGGCTCCATTACTGGTGTGCTTTTCTACATTTTTATAGAAATCTCATTATTTCACAAGTAGAAGGGGGAAAAATACAAGTATTTGCTCTTGCCAAATAAATAAATAAAATGTGTTGCCTTTTTGGTTCTGACTGAACAGACATTTCTTATGTGTAACTGCTGAATTTTTACAGTACCCTTTTATTCCCTTTTACTGTTACAAGAGGTTTCTTGCAGTTACACTTGACAGTACACATGCCTTGTATATTCAAATATATTTGTTTTGGTACGTGGACAGGTACAGGATCTGTTCTTAAATCCCTACTTCAGGGAGAATATTGAGGATACCTTTTATGCAGGATAGTCTTGTGGACTGTTAATTATAAGATCTTTGAATGCAAAATATATGGATGGAAATAAAGATTTGCAGATGTATATTTTGGCCTCGCCATCTTTACTCTCACACATGACTTCTATTATAAATTGTGGACAACAATTGAATAGTTGAAGTTACAAGTTCAGAAATAAGACTGAGTTTAGTGTTTTCCTCACCTCAAACCTCTTCCTTAACAAAATAACTGCTAATCTCCCTTGGTTAATGACTTTTGTTGTTATAGTGGATGATTAAATAAGGTCCATTAATTTAGGTTCTGATCTGCACCACTGAAATTTTTGTGAGTTTTGCTGTTGAATTCACAGAACACTGAGAAAGCAGGCAATGTTATCTTGGCTTACTGTCATTGTAATCTTGCCACAAGATGAAGTTGGCTTCTTGTTACATGCAACAACTACAAAAATACTAGAGGGTGCAAGTGCATATTGATGCTTCAGTTCTGCTCACTCCTTTTTCAGTCCTGCAGTGCTCTCTTTATTAGAGCAGAGCTTCCCTTTGTAACAAAAAAGCTGATTCCTGTTCTATGTTGTGTATGTAAAGTTATGCATTCTTAATGTTTTTTTCAAGCCAAAAGTTCATGAAGTAAAAAATGGCATTTTAATTCCATCTCTGCAGCATTATCTTGGCATTGCTTCCATGGAAGTGATCCAAGATGTTCTCTTAATTTTATTAAAATAATAGCCTTCATCAATAAGCACATGAACAACAATGGACAGACTAACCAGTAGAACCAATGTAATAACCTGCTGATACATATATTGAGCCGCTGTGCTCTGATGGCCAAGGCTTACTGAGATTCATCTCTGGGTTCTAGACAAATGGCAAGTGAGGATATTCATCTAAGCATTGTTCTGGCAGAAGT